GGGTGCAGCTGCCTTAGCAGTTCCCTCCTTCAGCTTGCAAGACTGACTTCCTACAAGACATCCCCAAGAAGAAGCCACATGGATCTATCCCGATGCAGCCCTGGGTGCTGGTGCAGCCGTGTGGAGAACCCTGCTAGTGCTGAGATGCTTATTCATTCACTGACTCAGCTTTCCTCCTGCAGTCGGAATCATTGCCTCTGTTTTGTGAGATGGAGGACTTTGTGGATTGGTGTTGGACATATGGGTTAATGGATTATTGTTGGACTTGTGGGCTTGGGCAGCACTGGGTTAGGATCTTTTCTTGATGCACACTTAATCTTTACATAAAACTCTCTTATATATGAGTTGCTGTGGATTTGTTTCTCTAAAGTACCCAGACTAATACAGGAGGTTTATTAGCAACCTTTGCTATGCAGAAGACATGACCTAACTTGCTAAAATGGAAGAGGGCTTGAAGCACTTGAAGATGAAAATCAAGGATTGAAGACTTCTGTATAGATTACACCACAATTTAAAGAAAACCCAAAACTCACAATTGGACTTCTCCAGAAGGAATACACAAATATGAAGTTTAATACACCTTTGATAAGAGATAATGGAGAAGCACAATATAAGCCACTAAAATGAGGCCAAGAGCTAACTGTGGAACAGACCAACAATTGCTCATGCTAAGTTCAGGTTGAAGGCCAAGAAATTTTAAACAAGTCCAAGAGAGCCAAAATTTGACCATGCATTTATCCCACCGGAATTTTGAGAGCAACTCAAGAACACACATGACAGATTGAACAAGAATGGCAGAAGAACTGAAGAACGTCATATCTGTAGAAAGCAAAATGGCATTAAAAAGACAGGAAAGAAATTATCAAAATAGATGTTGGAAGAGACTCTGAATCTTGCTCTTAATCACAGAGTAGCTAAGGCATGTGGAAGAAATAATGAAGTAAAAGAGTGAAAGAGAAATTTTCAAACGGGAGCACAAGAAGACAAAATAAAATATTAGAAAGAAATGTTCAAAGACCTAGACTTTGAAAACCAAAAAGGAAGAACAGGCTCTGCATACCTGAAACTTTTAAAACTGAAGAAAAAAGTTCAATCCTAACCTTGAAATACTGAAAATTTCTATTGGAAAAATATAGAATACTGCAGGAAGCATCAAAAGAAGATGGTTACAGTACAGAATCATTTTACCAAAAAGAACTAGTAACATTCAACCATTTCAAGAGGTAGCATATAAGCAAGGACCAATGGTAATGAAGGAAGAAGTTCAGGCTGCACTGAAAGTCAAAAACAAGGCTCCAGGAAGTGATGGAATACAAATTGAAATGTTTCAGCAAGCTGAGGAAGTACTGGGAGCAGTTATTCATCTATGCCAGGAAATTTGGGAGAGTCACTTGGCCAACATAACAGGATTCCATCCATATTTGTACCCATTCCAAAGAAAGGTGATGCAACAGAATGTTCAAATTATATAGCAATATCATTACTATCACATGTAAATAAAATTTTGCTGAAGATCATCCAACAATGATTGAAGCAGTACATTAATTGGCAGGAATCTGCCTCATGTTCAAGTTGGATTCTGAAGAGGATGTGGATTTTGCTAATTTCAGGTGGATCTTAGCTGAAAGCAGAAAATACCAGGAAGGTAGTTACAGTACTTACGCTTCATTGACTATGCTAAGGCACTCAACTGTGTGGAGCGTCACAAACTGGATAGGCGTGAAAGGAATGGGAATCCTGGACCCCTACATTGTGTTCGTGGGGAAATTGCCCACATATCAAGAGTCAAAAAAAAAAAAGAGTCAGTTGTGTGAACAGAAGAAGGAAATACTGCATGATTTAAAATCAGGAAAGGTGTATATCAGGGTTATATCCTCTCACCACACGCTTTCAATCTTTATTCTAATTAAATAATCAGATAGACTATTACATGAAGAAGAACGTAGTATTAGGATTGGAAGAAGTCTTATTAACAACCTGCTATATGCAGATAACACAACTTTGCTTGCTACGAATGGGAAGCACTTGAAGAACGTGCTGATGAAGATCAAGGATTGTAGCCTTCAGTATGGATTACAACTCCCTCTAAAGAAGACAAAAATCCTCACAACTTAACCGGTAGTTAACATGATAAATGGAGAAAAGATTGAAGTTGTCAAGGATATTGTCCTGCTTGGATCCATAATCCATGCTCATAGAAGCAGCAGTCAAGAGATCAAAATATGCATTGCATTGGGCAAATATCTTGCCCAGGACTTCTTCAAAGAGTTGAAAAGCAAGGATGTTACTTTCAGGACCAAAGTGTTCCTGACAAAGCCATGATATTTACAATATACCAATAGACCTCATGTGCATGAGAAAGTTGAACTTTGAATAGGGAAACCTGAAGAATAGCTGCATTTGAATTATGCTCGTGGGCCAAAATATTGTAAGTACGTGGACTGCCCAAAGAATAAGCAAATCTGTCTCAGAAGACGTACAGCCAGATGCTTTTTAGAAGCAGGAATGGCAAGACTGTCGCATGTACTTTGGACATGTTGTGTGTCAGGAGAGGCCACCTGGAGAAACACCCCATCGCTCCAGCAGTGAAGGGTAAGGAAAATGAGCAAGACGGATTGACACAGTGGCTGCGTCGATGCATTCGAATGTAAGAACACTGGGGGGGACAGCATAGTCCTGCAGTGGCAGTGCTTCTTTTTGTGTGTCTCGTGTGGCTGTGCGTTGGAACTGACACGATGACCTTTAACAAAAACATGGACTGCCAAAAGAACAAGCAAATCTTCCTGGAAAGACATTCATTCAGAGTGCTCCTTAGCAGGGAGAACAGGAAGCGTGACTCACATTTCTATTATTAGAAGAGACCGATTCCTACTTAGTAAAGTTGACCGGCAGCTGAAAAAGAGGAAACCTCTCCACAACCTCTATTCAAGGTCAAGTAACATGGATACTGCTGTTAGCATTCATTCCTGTGGAATGGGCAGGATTCCAATGGGGGAGGGGGCACGGATCACGGAGAAACAAAGCGCCCGCCCTCTGGCAGCCTCTGAGCTTTCAGAGAAAGACAACATTTCTGATGCCAAAACTCACGCTCATGAGAACCATCGCGTCCATGACGCTTAGTGACCACGTGAGCTTCTGAGACTGTGGGAACAGAAATCCCCAACCTCCTCTCTTGGTGTGGCGGCTGGTTTCGAATTGCTGTCCCTGAGGTTAGCAGCCCTGCATGTAAACACTTGCCCCATCAGAGCCCCTAAAGGGAAAACGAGCACAACATGCTTCTCCCACGAGCCCAGCCGCTGGCTTCCTGGCGGCAGTAAACCGGGGAAGGCGGGGATTGAGGGTTCAGGGAAACATTCAGGGCGCAGAGACAGGGGGGCGGGGAGGGGCGGGGCACGGCGCCGGGACTGTCACCGGCTGGGACGGAAGCACGCAGACCTCAGCAGAGCCATGAGTATCCTGGCCTTGTTAGCAGCGGGGGGCTCCCTGGGGGCCGCCATCTGGGCAGGATTTCATCTCTGGACGCTCCTGCTGGGAGCCCTCGTCTTTCTGCTCTTTGTTGATTTCCTCAGAAGGCGGCGCCCCCAAAACTACCCGCCGGGACCCTGGGGCTGGCCGTTCTTTGGTAACTTATTTGACTTGGACTTTGAACAGTCGCACCTGTCCCTGCAGAAGGTAGGAGATGATCAAAGTTCCCGATTCTGTCCTGGACCCACAGGAAAGAGTATTCTGGGTGGGGATGGCAAGGAATCCCTGGTGGCGTTGTGCTGCTAACGCCTGATTAGACGGGTCAGTGGCTCTTTGGAAGAAAGATGTATCCGTTTGCTTCCTTCCAGAGTATGGAAGCCTTAGAAAACCCATAGGGGCACGTCCGCTCTGTCCTAGAGGGCCACAATGAGTCCTAATAGTCACGGTAGAGCGTTTGCTTTTGTTGGGGTGAACGAAGTTCCGTGGTTTCATGTTTTCCTCACCATTCTACTGCTATGATTCTCCCAATTCTTTACCAAATGCGGGAAATGTCATTCAATCTTCATGAGGAGCAATTCAACTCTCTCTGCTAACAAGTCGATCCCAAGTCACGATAACCCATAGAACTGCCCCTGTGAGTTTCTGAGGCTGTGAAGCTTCATCTTTTAAAAGGAACCTCATCCTTCTTCCTGGGGAGGGGCTGCCGGGTTCCTACAGCTGACTTGGGGTTAAGTAGCCTAACAGGTATCCTGCTAGGCCACCAGGGGCCCTCCATGTGCAGCAGTGTACCATTAAAAGTTTGCAAGGTGGCAGAGTGGCTAAGTAGTGGGCTAGCTGCTCACTGCCAAAGCACCTGGCCCCATGCAGGAAAAAGATTGGGCTTTGTACTCCCTGACAGAGGCACAGCTTCGGAAACTCACAGGGACAACTCTATCCTCTTCTATAGGGTTGCTGGATCAGTATTGACTTCAGGGCAGTGAGTTTGGTTTGCTTTGGGAGGCATGGTGGGCACCTTCACTCATTAAACTGTGTGGTATTATGTTCAATGTTGCGATATTCTGTTTATAATGATTATGTGGCTAACTTTTAATATGATTACTCTTGAAAACTGCTGAATTTCCCTTCTTGGTGACTATGTGTCCTGTATGTTAAAGGGTGATCATACTAATAATCCTTGCTACTCTCAAGATGGGGTACCGCCATCACCACAGTAACCAAGCCCCACTTCTTTAGCCTTTTCCCCTGAGAATCCACTCTTAGAAAGTAATCATCTAAAAATATTGCCTTGCTTTAAAAAAATATATATTTTCCCTCCTAGACTTTAAACTCTTGACCAAGGCACCAAGGTCCCTTCTTGATTCATCCTCACTCCGCCTTTATATTGTCATCTCTCACCAGGGCTCACTCAGTCTGGCCTCTTTGAGGTTCTTCCTGTTCCCTGAAACACACGAAACTGTTGAGAATCTTCAACTGGCAAGTCCTCTGCATAGTCACCTGGCTGAGGTGGTTATGAAGAGTAAATTAAGACAGTTACTGAGCAACCCGAATATGATCCACAGCAGGTGCTCATCAGGTATTAGTCCTCCTTTTCTGCAAAGCCTGGAGTCCTGCATACACATGTCTGTATTATTCAAATACACACCCACAGACAGCAAGTTGATTCCAACTCACACAGACCCTAAAGACCAAGTACAACTGCCCCTGTAGAGTTCAGAGACCTCAATTCTTTACGGAAACAGGCAGCCTCATCTTTCACCCTTGGAGCAACAGGTGGTTTAGAATCTCTGACCTTGTACTGAGCAGCTTAATGCATAACCCACTTTGCCACCAGGGCGCCTCATATTATCCAAATGCACATGCACAATATTTGCTCACTCTCAAGGAACAAGCACTCAGCTGCTATCACCGGATTAGTACCATTGTGTTAACAGTACGTTGTTTCATTTCTAAGGGGTTGAAAGCAACCGTGTTCTCTTTTTGTGAATAATTTCCAGTGTGATTCTATCCCAAGGTATGCTCTATCATGGTAAATGTCTTCTGTTTACTCGGAAAGAATATGTATTCCACTGTTGTTGAATGGAGTGTTTTGTTCATGTCAATTAAACCCTGTTGTGTGACAAACTGAAAACAAATGCAATGCCATCTAGTTATAGGACTCATAACCACCCCATAGGACAGAGTAGAACAGGCCCTGGGCTTTGAGGCTGCAACTCTTCCTGGGAGCAGATAGTCTTATTGTTCTCCTGTGGGTTCAAGTGGCTGGTAGGCTGGAGCAGCGAGCTGGTGGAATCAAACTGCCAACCTGTGGTTAACAGTCTAATTTGTAACCCACTCAGACAACAGGGCTGTACTTTATGAACTAATTCTTTTAATTTCTGAGACAAGTGTGTTGAAATTTTGAACCTAGTCATAGGGTTTTTTTTTCTCCATTTAGTTATCAATTTTTCATTCAGTTACTTGGCATCTCTTATTTCAGGAACATTCATTTAAGATGGTGATATCTTGGTCATTGTAAGGCATGGCAAAAATAATAATTTATAAATTATCAAGGGTTCATGAGGGAGGAAGGGTGAGGGAGGGGGTAAAATGATTGATAACAAGGGCTCAAGTAGAAAGAAAATGTTTTGAAAATGATGATGGCAACATAGGTACAAATGTGCTTGACACAATGGATGGATATATGGATTGTGATAAGAACTGTAAGAGTCCCCAAAAAATGATTTAAAAAAAACTAGCAAGAAAAAAAAAAGATTGTTATATCTTCTTGCTGAATTAACTTTTAGAACATTGTGTTAGTCTGGGTACTTTAAAGAAACAAATCACAGAAACTCATGTATAAGAGAAAGTTTTATTTAAAGGTTAAGTGAACATCAAGAAAACATCCCAACTCAGTGCTGCCTAAGCCCACAAGTCCAACATTAACCCATTAACCCATATGTCCAACACCAATCCACAAAGTCCTCCTCGATCTCACAAAATACACGCAATGATGCTGACTGCAGGAGGAAAGCCGAATCAGTGAGCATGTAAGCATCTCAGCACTGGCAGGGGTCTCCACACGGCTGCTCCAGCACCCAGGGCTGCATCAGGGTAGGTCCATGTGGCTTCTCCTCAGCAATGTCTTGCAGGAAGTGAGCCTTGCCAGCTAAAGCAGGGAACTGGCTAAGGAAGCTGCACCCTGGTCTGACCATCAGAAAGCAAGAGACCCGAGAACTAGAAAGGCGAGGCTTACCGAGCCATTTATCCCTCTGCCCTTCAATTAACCCCACATGTGTTTATCGGCCAGGTTGGCACAATCAACTAACCACCTCAAACATTATATAATGTGCCCTTTGTACCTGGAGACTATCCTGGAACTGAATATTACTTTATCTTATATTGACAAACCCATTCCTGATCTAACCACTTCACCTTCTTGTGATGAGAATCTGCACGGTACATGTTTTCCCATCCTTTTACTTTCAACCTCCTTATCATTATGATGAAATGAGTTTCTATTAGAGGGCATATATTTAAATTATCTTTGGGGATATACCGTGTCAATTATCTTTTAACATCAGATTAATATGTAACATAATATAAATATGGTACGATATAAATATGTCACTTCTTATGGGTTACTTGAACATTGTTTTTCTTAAGAATTCTATTTTTATTTAACTTGTCCTGCTAACAATAAAGTCAGCGGTTTGAAACCACCAACCTCAAAACTGTAGAAAGATAAGCCTTTCTACCCTACCCTACACTGCCACTATAAGTTAGAATTGACTCAATAGCAGTAAGAAGTGAGTGAAGCTTTTTTTTTTTTTAGGCAACCCTTGTTTTTAATATAATCTTAATATCTTTGTAAATTCACATAATTCAATTGATAACGGTTGTGTTTAACAACTGGCTTCCAACATTTCTGACGGTGTGCTACTGGTCTCTCTTGAGGCAGGGCAAGCCAGCTCCAGCATACCAGTGGCCCCAAGCCCTTGGGGACCTTGGTGGGGGTCCTGGTGTCCACTTCCTCAGTGCCAAAGTGACAGGCAGGTGTGCTGGTTATTACTGAATGTCATTGGGAATCTTTGGGAAGATGTAGGGGAAGGAACCTTCGGACAGAATGCCCTAGAGAACCTGCTATTCTATTCATTTCAATTCAGCTACACCTCGTCTTCCTTCTTTCCCAAGGATGGCCTTCTACTACAAGGGCGGCCAGAACTTGGGAGAACTGCTCAAAAGACCAGAATGGGAACAGAGAAAGGGGCAAGATCCCAGTTGCCAAGGAGGGGCAGAGGCCCTGGAGACAAGACTGGCAGGAGCTGTGACTGGTACACAGGTGGTCCCTGCCTCTAAGGCCTCTGTCTTCCCTTCAGCTCAAGCAAAACAGACATGGTAGAGTGGGACAGATGGCTTTATTGGTATAACCAGCCTGGTACCAATGGTGGACTCATCCAGACACTCCCTTGGCTTCTGAGAGTGGGGAGTGTCCTGGGCAGGATTGGCAGGCAGAGCTGCAGGGTTGGGATCTATAAGTGCCTCAGGGTAATGGCGACAATGGGTGGTGGTGAGGATGCCCATTCAAGTGTCTATAGGCAAGCAGAGGCTTTCCTTGCCCCTGGGCCCACCCTTGCCGAGAAGGGGTGGGGGGCAGGGATGGCTAGGGGAGTGTTCCTCAGGCCTCTTAGTGGGCAGTTCTTGCTGTCAGCATCTCCAGGATGTTCTCTATCTCCTTGATGCTCGGCTCAAGTTCTTTAATTTTTTCTTCTGCAATTTCCTGTTTCTCTAGGAGCTGGTTGTGAATTACCTCCTTGGACTGAAGAATGAACATTCTTCCTACAGCTTCTCACAGATGTTAGCCTCATCGACCTAATCTCTGTGTCTTTAAGATGTTCCTGCTTTTTGGATCTGCTTAGCTGTTCTGTCTGTATGTCTGTATGTCTGTATGTCTGTTGCGTGTCAGTAACTCTGGCCTGAAGCTCTGTAAAGACCTTTTTCAACTCAAGATCCATGGGAGCCACCATCTTGGCTCAATCTATATGCACTGAGTGAAGCTTTTTGAGCATACAGTGAACCCTCGTTGATCGCGGTTAATCGGTTCTAGACCCTACCGTGATAAATGAAATTCCGCGAAGTAGGCTTCCTTATTTGTAAATCAAATATTTTCGTAGTTAGAGCATAGAGGACATGAAAAAACACCCTTTAGTCACCATTACACTCGTATTACC